ATTAGCTGGTTTTTTAAATAACCGTGTAGTATTATCTTTTAAATTAATCTCTAATTTTGAATCAGACGTATTTGAATTTTCTAAATCAGAGTCATTATTTAATATTGATTGATTAATTAGCTCGATCGGCTCTCTTGCAGTTTTTTCGATATCTTCTAACAAAGTTGGATCAACCTCACTAAAATCTACTTCAACTTCTAGCTCATTTGTATATGTTAACAATGTTCCTTCAACTTTTTTACGACTTACAATGATCTTTGTATTTGGATACAAAGTTTTTGATAAGCATTGTTCAGCAAGAGTATCTTCTAAGTATTTCATAATTGCCCGACGCAATGGTCGAGCACCATAAATTGGATCATACCCTTCATCGGTTAAAAAAGCTTGAACAGCCAAATCAACGATTAAATTAATTCCTTTTTCTTTTAAACGTTTCTGTACTGACTTAATCATCAATTCACAAATTTCCCAAATATCAATTCTAGTTAAATGATTAAAAACAATAATTTCATCGATTCGGTTTAAAAATTCTGGTCTAAAAAAATTCTTAAGTTCTTCATTTACAAGTTTTGTCACTCGCCCAAATATTTCTGGGTCTTTAATTGGCTCAGGAACCGGTTCCCAACCTAAAACTGCATCTGGAGTTATTTTAAAACCACGGTCGACTTGCTCTGATTTTGATTTAATCCCACTTTCACGTTCAATAATTTTTGAACCCAAATTAGTAGTCATAATAATTAATGTATTTGTAAAATCAATAACCCGTCCTTTTGAATCAGACAATCGACCATCATCTAAAATTTGTAATAATAAATTAAAAACATCGGGATGTGCTTTTTCAACTTCATCAAACAATACAACAGAATATGGTTTTGAACGAACAGCTTCTGTTAATTGACCACCTTCATTATATCCAACATAACCTGGGGGTGAACCAATTAGCTTTGCAACTGTGTGTTTTTCCATAAATTCGGACATATCTAAACGAATCATACTTTCTTCACTACTAAACATATAATCTGATAGTGCTTTTGTTAATTCTGTTTTTCCTACACCAGTAGGTCCTGCGAAAATAAAACTTGCAATTGGTCGGTTTGGATTTCTTAATCCTACTCGAGCACGACGAATAGCTTTTGAAACTGAAATTACAGCATGTTTTTGACCAATAATACGTTCATGAATTGTATCCTCCATTTTTAATAACCGTTCAGATTCAGAACCTGTAATTTTTGTAACAGGAATTCCAGTCCAGTTTGAAATTACATCAGAAACATCAGTTTCTGTCACCATATCAACGTCATGACGACTAAATCCTCTGGCTTCATTCGTTAAAGCAGATTGTTTCATAATTCGAATATGTGTTCGAACTTCCATTTCATGATCTAATAATTGTTTTGCCGCTTCGAAATCATGTTCTTTGATACATTCTTCTTTATCTTTGATTGTTTCTTGCAATTCGTGCATTAAACTTCGTAACCCTAATGGTAAACGACGGTTTTCTAATCGAACTCGTGCTCCCGCTTCATCTAAAACATCAATCGCTTTATCGGGTAAATAACGATCAGCTACATATTTGTCAGAAAGTAAAGCTGCTTGCTCTAAGGCTTTATCGTGATAACTTAAAGTATGATGTTGCTCAAACTTTGAGCGTAACCCTCGTAGAATTTCGATTGTAGTACCAACTGTTGGCTCCTCTACATGAACTGGTTGAAAACGACGTTCAAGGGCCGGATCACGTTCAATATATTTCCGATATTCATCATTTGTGGTAGCCCCAATACAACGAAATTTACCACGAGCTAAAGCCGGTTTTAAAATATTTGCTGCATCAACTGCGCCTTCTGCAGCTCCTGCTCCTACCAATGTATGAATTTCATCAATAACAATGATAACTGCTGAATCATTTTGTGCTTCTTCAACTATTCGTTTTAAACGTTCTTCAAATTCACCCCGGTATTTAGTACCAGCTAGGATAGATCCTAAATCTAGAGCCATAATTAAACTCCCATCTAAAAAATCTGGAACTTTTTCAGTTAAAATAAGTTGCGCTAATCCTTCAGCAACAGCCGTTTTTCCAACACCAGGTTCACCAATTAAAACAGGATTATTTTTGGTTCTTCTTGCTAAGACTGCAATAACATCATCAATTTCTTTTTCTCGTCCAATAACGGGATCAAGATTACCATCAATTGCTTCTTTTGTAACATTTTCAGCATATTCATCTAAAGTAGGAGTCCCACTTCCTTTTTTTTCTCGTTCTAGTAAGAATTTTTCTGCTTGCGTCAAAGGCCGTAAAATTTCTTCTTGTGTTTCTTCAATATACGTTAAAATTAAATTTCGTAATTTTTGAATATCAACATTAAGTTTATCTAATGTTCGCATAGCGACACCATCAGATTCGGCAATTAATGCTAATAAAATATGTTCCGTTCCAACAAAGTTTTGACCAAGATCTTTGCCTTCATGAACCGCCATTTCTAGAACTCGTTTTGCTCTTGGAGTAAAAGGAATTTCAGAAGCAACAAAACCTGTTCCTCTACCAATATACAATTCAATTTCTTTTCTAGCTTTTTTTAAAGTGACTTTCAATTTTTTTAAAGCACGTGCCCCAATTCCATGCCGTTGACCAATAACACCAAGTAACAATTGTTCTGTACCTACAAAATTATGGCCCATGCGGCGAGCTTCTTCTTGAGATAACATGATGACTTTAATTGCGCCTTCTGTAAATTTTTCAAACATATAAATTTACTTTAATTATTTTTTTTAAATTCTATTCACTTTATGTATATTATATATCATTATTATGTAAAGTTGTGATCAAAAAATTTCTCTGAACAGTCTAGCCAATTTATTTAAAAATACATTATAATGAAAAAATAATGATGGTGGTATGGCCAAGTGGTAAGGCAGTGGATTGCAAATCCTCTATCCCCAGTTCGAATCTGGGTGCCGCCTTATTTGGTTTAAACTATAGTATTGTGTTTAGTTTGATTTTTATTTAAAATAATGATACAATCTTTAAAGTTGGGAATGTGGTGAAATTGGTAGACACGATGGACTTAAAATCCATTGCCTAGTGATAGGCGTGAGGGTTCAAGTCCCTCCGTTCCCAATTAATTAGATATAATATATAAAAGATTTGATAACAAATATGTACAATTCTCCTAATTATATTAAAATCCAAGCAATGCAATTTATAGAAAGTATTGATCAAGATTCCCTAATGGACTTCACATTAAAAATTACATAACTAATTTTTCTATGTAATTTTTAATTATACTACTAGGTAAGAGTTTACCAAAATAAACTCATAAAGTTCTTTTTGCCAAGGTCGCAAAGTCACTGATGCGTATTCTTCACTGAATTTTTCTTTCTTACCCACATAAATAAGGTCTTTTCACGCGTGTATCCTTTTTAGAAACATATTTCATAGCCGAGTTTTTATCGAAATTTTTACTAAGCGTTAAACCATTTATATTAGCAAATTCGTTCTTAAAAATTTCAAGCAATTGTTTTTTCGAAACTCTAGGTACGATTAAAATAACTTAAAAAGAAGGCCTATAATCAAACAAAGATTTTAAGTTTACTTTTGTTTATTAAAAATTAGAAATCGTAAAACATGTGAATCAAGTTTTAAAATATTTGAAAAGTTAGAAAGATATTTAGGGATACTTGAAAAGTTTAATTGGATGTAATTTCCTTTAACACGCTTATTAATGGAATAAGCTAAATTATGCTTTCCACGAGAAATCACTGAAATATCACAAACATTAAACTTTCGCAAATTTTTAGCATAATTAAAAACCCAGGTTTTTAATTCATTATCATTAAATTCTTCTGTTAAAAGAATCATGATTTCATATTTTCGTAACGATGACATAAACTAACAAAATGAATTATTTAGATTTTATTATCTTAATATAAAGCTGATTAAGTAATTTTGTCAACTATATTTATTTTAAATTAAAAATTTTTATTAAAAATAGCTCCTAACTATTCTACTTATTTAAAACTGTATAAAGTCAATTGCAAATTTTATAAGAATAGACGTAAAAAGTGTCCATCGAATAAATCGCTTTTACATGTATTATTTATGGCTTGAATTTATTACTTATAATATAATAATTCGCTCTTATGCTAATAAAAATAAAGCCTATTAATTTAACGCTTTTTATTGAAATTCATTATTTAAATATGGTATTTACTTTTGTTAAAATAAAGATTTACAATTAACATTTTCATAGAAATAAATAAGGTTAATTGAACTAATATCTTGAGTTTGTTAATATTGTTAATCCCCCACTGATGAGCGTGTTTGAGTAATATGTGATTTAATTGAATTATCCCCTATCTCAGCCTTATATTTATCATTAAATTTCATTATTTTAGACTAACTTGATGATTTTTTACAAGCTCCTTGGCCTGGATTATTTTCGTGAATCAAATTCTCTTGGAGCTTTGAGGTGATTCGTGGTACGATACCTGAATGTCCAAAACCTGGGTTAGTTTGACTAGTCATAAATTTTTTAGCTGCCGTAAAATAGTTATTTATTGTCCAAATTAACAAAATTCTAAACAAGATTTTTATTAAAGGATTTAGATTTCCACTTTTTAGTTATACTAACCCATCTAGATTTTCCTTTAAAATTGCAAATTTTGAATTTGTTAAAGGTTTTTCAATAACTAAATAACTAATTGGTTATACAGTTTTTTCTGTTATTCCATTTAATACAATTGCTCAAAAATTTGTTGTTGTGCTTCTAAAATTTGAGAATTTTTGGGTTTACCAATAATTAAATCGTTACTGCTAAGCTGAATGGTATAAAGCCGAGCTTTATCTTCGACAAGACTTTGTTGCAACGAATTTTTTTCAATTATAACCGGATTTTTATTTTATTCGGAAATAATTTCTGTAAGCTTTACTAAGATTTGCGGAGCCATATCCATTTTAAAACTCCTATATTTAACGATTCACTTTAAAATAGGTTACATTTTGATCCATATAATAGATCAAAATGTAACCTATTTTAAAGTGAAAAGACTGAGTTTTTCTCTAAGTAATTTGGGGCTCAAACTAAAGCGTCAAACTTATAAGTTTAGGTGATTTTTTAAATTTTCATTCTAGTTCGTTAGAACTTATAAATCATTTAAATCATTTACTGAATTTGAATTAGACTCATTATCAACTTTTGCGGTAACGATTTCACGCATTGCTTCCTTTAAACTTTCAACTGACGATTTTAATGAAGTCAAATTCTCAGTTTGAATTGCATCGCGAATTTCTATAACCAATTTTGTAATGCGTTCTTTATTATCTGTTAAACTAGTATCTTTTAATAAACTTATTTCTTTCTCAGCCTCTAAACATAAAGTTTCAGCTTGGTTTATTAAATCAATAGTTTCACGTTTTTCTTTATCTAGGCTTGCAAACTTTTCCGCATCTTCTAACATTGTCTCAACTTCATTTTCATTTAAATTTGAAGCTCCTTGAATAGTAACTGATTGTTCAATCCCAGTTTCTTTCTCTTTCGCTTTTACTGATAAGATTCCATCTACATCAATATCAAAGGTTACTTCAATTTGTGGAACCCCACGTTCAGCCGCTGGAATACCATCAAGTCTAAAATTTCCAAGACTTTTATTACCAGCAACTAATTCACGTTCACCTTGCAAAATATGAATTTCAACATTCGTCTGATTATCGACGGCCGTAGAAAACATTTCAGATTTTTTTACTGGGATTGTTGTATTTCGCGCAATAATCTTTGTCATAACACCTCCTAATGTTTCAACTCCTAATGATAATGGTGTAACATCTAATAATAAAACATCTTTAATTTCACCAGCTAAGATACCTGCTTGAATTGCAGCACCAATAGCTACAACTTCATCTGGATTTACTGATTGATTAGGTTTTTTATTAGTTAATGATTCGACTAATTCTTGAATTGCAGGGATACGAGTTGAACCGCCAACTAATACAATTTCGTTAATATCTGTTTTATCAAGTCGAGCATCGTTTAAAGCTTTTTCAACTGGAATTCGACAACGTGCAATTAAATCGCTACATAAAGTTTCAAAAACTTCACGGGTCAATTCTTTATCAATGTGTTTTGGACCAGTTGCATCTGCAGTAATAAATGGTAATGAAATATTAGTCTTTTCAACAGTGGATAATTCCATTTTGGCTTTTTCAGCAGCTTCAGTTAACCTTTGTAATGCTTGTATGTCATTAACTAGATCAATTCCTTCTTGTTCTTTAAAATCAGCCATTAACCAATTGACTAAAACTTTATCAAAATCATCACCACCTAAATTTGTATCTCCTGCTGTTGCTAAAACTTCAAAAATTCCATCGCCAACTTCCAAAATTGAAACATCAAAGGTACCTCCACCTAGATCAAAAACTAAAATTGTTTCATTTTGTTTTTTATCTAATCCATAAGCCAATGAAGCTGCGGTAGGTTCATTAATAATTCGTAACACTTCGATTCCGGCAATCTTTCCAGCGTCCATTGTTGCCTGACGTTGAGAATCATTAAAATAAGCAGGAACTGTAATAACAGCTTGGGTTACTTCTTGACTTAAATAACTTGTTGCATCATTGATTAATTTTCGTAATACTTGAGCAGAAATTTCTTCAGGACTAAAATCTTTCGTTAAAGCCGGACATTTAATTTTAATATTTTCATTTGAATCTTTTGTGATTTTATATGGTAATTGTTTTGCTTCTAATTTTATTTCAGTTTCTTTGGAACCAATAAACCGTTTAACAGAAAAAAATGTATTTTCTGGATTAATAACAGCTTGACGTTTTGCAATTTGACCAACTAGTAATTCTTGTTTTTTTGTATAAGCAACAATTGAAGGTGTTGTGCGTAAACCTTCAGCGTTTATAATAACACTTGGTTGACCACCTTCAATTGCTGCTACTACAGAGTTTGTCGTTCCTAAATCAATTCCTACAACTTTTGCCATTTTTTATTAAATTATTATATTTTTTATTAACTTAAATTATAAAATACTTTACAATAATTTATTTCACCTAATTAACGTATATATTCGTAATTGTGCAATAACAGTGTTAATATTACTTATCTAGACAAACTTTTTCAATTTCTTTAAGATGTTTATTTAATTTACTAATTTAATAATTAGTTTATAAAATCTTAAAGATTATTAAAGATGGTGTCGATTTTCAAAAGAAAATATTTGGAGGACTATTATGGGTGTAGGTTTATTAGGGAATAAAATTGGCATGACGCAAATTTTTGATGAATCTGGTAATATTATTCCTGTTACAATTTTAAAAGTTGGACCTTGCGTAATAACACAAATTAAAACAATGGCAAGAGATGGTTATGACGGAATACAAGTAGGTTATAAGAATGTTTTGAATAAATCGTTAAATCAACCACAATTAGGACATTTACAAAAATCTAATATTCAACCATTAAAATATTTAAAAGAATTTCGAGTTGCAAAGAACCATGATTTTGAAATTGGACAAGTTTTAACTGTTGATGAGCTTTCACCGGGACAACTTGTAAATATTCAAGGGAAAACAATTGGTAAAGGATTTGCAGGATTACAAAAACGCCATAATTTTACTCGTGGGCCAATGACACATGGATCAAAAAATCATCGTGCGCCAGGTTCAATTGGTATGGGAACAACACCTGGTCGCGTTTTACCGGGTAAAAAAATGGCAGGACAATTAGGAAATAAAATTACAACTGTTAAAAAGCTTAAAGTGATTCAATTTAATCTACAAGAAAATATTTTAGTTGTAAAAGGGTCAGTCCCAGGAAAACCAGGAAATTTATTAAGTATTGTTTCATCTAAATAAATAGATTAAATTAAAAAACTAAATATTATTAAAATCAAGTATGACCGTTCAAAAATTTATAAAATATACCCAAGTCGATGTAACAGGGAAGCAATTAAGTTCTGAACAAGAACTAAAACTTAATATTCTAGATGAATCTGGTAATTATCTTATTCATAAAGATTTTGTACGACATTCAACAGCAAAACGTCAAAGAACTGTCGGAACAAAAACACGTAGTGAAGTACGTGGAGGTGGTCGAAAACCTTGGCAACAAAAAGGTA